GATTTGCTTATAAAGGGGAATATCGATACAACATGACAGTTATTTTTCAATATTTTGCTCTTAGTACGCTTTGCGATTTTTAAATATAATATATACATTATCTATTAATATTTTATGCGCTACTTTGCCGAATCTAAGTTAATTTCTCCAATTTTAAAAATAGTAAAACATAAAACGTGATACTATTTTATCTTATCGTGTCAATTCTTAAGGAATTTTCGCATTTTTGCATAGCCACCTTGACAGACTCATATTTATTTCAGCATTTAGCATTTTCTATGATCGAACGTTTGTACACCCTCTTACCTTGTTATCAATTGAAACAAAATTTTAAACATTTGGGTTATGGATTCACGCGATCATTTTCCAATATGTAACTTATTCGGATATAATCTGAAAAAAAAAATGACTGACACATTACGTAGTCGTATAAATGTAAAAGATTAGAATACGTGCAGAATACGTGGCATTGTGATTCACACAAATCCCGAAATATATATCAACTTCTGTTACCAAGTTGCTTTAAATTTGTGAACAATTAATTAGAAATTATGATAATATTATGACAATAGTAGACACTTCTATAAATAAATTAATATGAATTTATGAATTTATTTGTAATGAAAATGTTGGAAAATTTATAAGTCCACAAATATAATAGTATCCTTCAACGTTCATTGATTTTTAATGAATAATTGCAGAGTATCTTTACTTTTATTAAACGTTAAAATCCAATCGAATGAAGGTGTTTGTATTGATATTTACCATATATTTGGCGTTGTTCCTAATCTTTATTGTATACGTTGTGTAAACTTTGGCAATACGATTTTCAACTGGCAGCTAACTTATAAACTAGTCTAGATGCCCTTTGAAAAGCCGTAGCGCCCAAAAGTTTTTCGTCGCATTGTAGATTTTCTAAAATATGCAACTGTTTGCCTCAATCACATTATTTTAGATGTAGTAAGTTTTAAATTTATGTGAACTTGCTGAATATTATTGTTGAATCAACTTGAGCAAAGTAGTTTTTCAATAGGCAGCTGACTTACAAACTAGTCTAGATGCCCTTTGAAAAGCCGCACTGCTCAAAAGTTGGTGACTAAGTGGTTAATATGTATGATGGTTTCACTGATTTTTACACTGCACTGAATAAAATTAACTTATGAAATGTGACTTCTTATCAGTGGAGTGTGATTTTATAGCTGCGGTCACTTATTGGGCGGTTTGGGGGAACTTCCGGTCACACACTTATTCATATACTGTAATTTCAGTTTTCAGAAATTGCAATTTTTTATGTATCTATTCAGGAAATAGATTTATATATTTTTATTTATTAAACTATTGTTAAGCTATTAACTTTTGATAATAATATGATTCACATGCCCTCTTGAAAGTATTAAATTATACTACGCATTAGGTACACTAATCAGTTCTAATGTTTTATTCTTTAGTTTATTATTAATTTTTAATTTTAATTCTTAGAAAAAGAAATAGAAAAAGTATTAAATAAATTATTTATTTATGTTGTGTGATGCTAAGTCGTTTATTACTCATTTTTAACATTGAATACACAATCTACAGTATTATTTTGGTCGACTTATCTGGTATGCATCCGCTCACACATCCGGTGCCAATATCATAAGTACAAAATAAGAATGTATTCTCGTATTTTCGTATTAATACATATGGCAAATACAATTATTTTAAATGTTTATTTATTTTGTATTGTTAATACTAGAACTGTACAAAAAGGACGTGCAGGCGTGTTTGCCTACAGATATTTTTTCCGCAGCAATAAATACAGATAATTATTTTCGTAGTATTGTCAATTTTTTCAGGCGGTGATTTCTGCATTTTCTGTCCTTATGGCTGCGGGAAAACCCTATCCCGGCAATTACAATACAAATATATTTTTCTTGCCGTAAAAACCATCCTTGGATTTTAACAAATATTTAAAATAAAGAATTAGCCAAATTGGTCTTGGCGTTGTTGAGTTATGCGCTTACCAACGGATTTTGCAATTCATTTTTATATTATAGGTTGCTTAAAAATAAAATTGCGAATCTTATTGATAGAATCGATACATAGTATCTCTAGAAAAAGACAGTATAAACGAATTACATTTTTATTAAACACTACCGGGACGAAGTCGCGGGCAAAAATTAGAAATGTTATATAAATAATTAGTATTATAAAAAGCGGAGAAAGTATGCTAAATCCCGTCAAATTTTTGACTACTTTGAGCTATTGACGCAGTTGATATTTCTACCACTCGACAAAACAATTAATTATGTATTATGTGGTAAAAAGAATTACAAAAATACTTGCGTGGCTGTCAAAAAATAGAATTAAAAAATAATAACCAATGTCATCTTATGGGGAAACAAACATTACGAGACTGCCAGACTCGTATACTGCAATCGTCTCTACTGGTGATCAAAAAGTTTGATGCGCAGCTGATATTAGTAGCAGTCAATATCTAATCAAATATTCTCACTGTTGATGTAATAAAAATAACAAAAAGAGTTGGGTGGCTTTAAAAACATGTATTTTTAAATTCTACTAATTTTAAGTATAATTGGAAACGAAGCACAAAATATACAGCACAGATGTGTATACAATTTATATTTTATGTTTTTATCGGTGTTATACTTGTATTGCTCATCGCGGCGATTCATATTATATTTCTTAACACCATCATTATAATTTTTGCAGATATGTTATGCACAAGTTCAGTTGAAGCAAAATCAGGTAGTAGAATAACTGGCACGGTTTTAGAAAATTCTTGCAATGTTTATTGGAATACAATTACGGTATACGACGTACTGATCTATCCTCTTCCATGAACTTGATCTTCTCTTTCGTATAAAAAAACGCAAAGCAAAGCAGCAGAGAGCGGTCAATGAGTTTTTTTATCTCAACCCCAACTATTCTATTATCTATAACTATCATAACAAGTTTTAACAACTTTTACTTGTAAGTACAAGAAGAATTTTCCTACTCATTATTACTATTGGATAGATACTACGCAACCGCGTCCAATGCTTCCGGTGAGTTTGGTCGGACGCGATTGCATTTAATTTTGCAGTGCAGGACACTTCGAGTATAGTAGCCTTAATCTGTTTCACATGCATCACAACATGCGGTTATCATGTTTTGTAGGCTCTAGGCTCGACTAAACAGCGTTTTAGATTGAGCCCTAGCGTAGTTTTCAAACGACCGCTTAGAGGCGCTCAAGACCGCAACTTGCTTGCAATCGACAAAATTCTTACGCTTCGGTGCTACACAGAATCCATCCATTCACTGATGCAACAACGGCGCAAAAATATAAAGAGTGTGACATAATCAAACTATTACAAAATTTATTCTGCCCCCTATAAATTAAAAATAAATATCATTCTGTAAACCTACACACACCTTGAATGAATAGCGGAAATGATGAGAAAAGAGTATGTTTTGTTGTTGAACTCGAAAGAGATACAGTGAACTAGAGTGGACTCATTATAAAAAATAAAACAAAAGTAATCTATAGTATAAAATAACAAATTATATTTAATGCGAGGGTTGTGCTGGAAGTTATTTTTAAATTTATTTCGTATCAATTTAGTTATCTTCCTTTTTTGTTTATATTTTTACGGAATTGCACACAGTGTCTGCCAAATGTGCTTTAGTGCGCTTTTGAAACATCGATGCTCCCACGAATAAACATCCATATTATTGTACTACAAAGTGTAAGTCAAAAATGAAACATAACACTTGCTTATCGCTTATCGCTTTCTGTCAGTTCCCTCGGCTCTAAGCCGCAAACTTAGAACTTCGTTTTAAAAATTGTGCCCAACACACTAAAATCAAACAAAAAATCTGGTTCAGTTTTGGAATTCCGAACTTTTTATTTCACGCAACTATAGCATTTTGCAACACATTTGAAAATGAAAGATGTCCCACGACAACCGAAAATTATCAAAACCTGTTACAATAAATTAATGCAATCTTGTTATATTTTATTTTAATCGTTTATTATAAATACATTACAAAAAAATTGAGCAATTGGTAAGAATTATCGTACAGTACGAATGGTCAATATTAATCACCTCGATCCGACTTCAATTACCTTGGTCGGGTCGCATTACAATATTACAAATATTACAAATAGAGAGGCGCGTTGAGATTTACGTATTGACATAAATAAATAAATAAGCCGAATGAATCCAAAAAACTCCACAAACTGCCATGCAATCAAAAGTATATCTTTTTGGACGTCCAGTAATTACATAATTTTTAAAACTAAATTATGTTCAGTTTTTGTTTTACTTCCTTTCTGATAGGGTTATATTATCTGGAATGTCAAAAAATCCGAATACTGATGCAGATTCCATCGACATCATGTCCTGAGTCATTCTGCGCACACACGACATTTTAAATAATTAGAATATTTGGCAACGTCGATTTTAAACCTAACTTAACCTATAAACTAACCTAATTTTAATTAAAATCTACCGTATTAACAGCCGTCACACGTTTTTACTAGGTAACCAAAAGATCAGACAGCCAACCACTCGCTGTGCAGTGGTGTAATATCGACTGCCTAGGTTATCTAAATACCTAGATTTAACGACTCATCCTAAAATAATTGAGACTATCTATTATCACTAGCTAGGACTGTCGAGTAGCGGGCATTATATTATAATGCATAAACTAATTTGAGTAGTTTAATGGCGGATGCAAATCTAAATTTAACTGATGATATGAGTTTAAAATGGCCGCCCTCGATTTGTATTTACACTTTGTGCACTGCCTTTCAAATTTCAAAAATGGCGATTTAGGGCTTCAGACAATCATTTCGTTGTACTCGTTTGGTTCAAGGTCCTGGTCGTTTGGTGCAACCAGGCTGTTGTAGTATACTTCCAGCTCTTTTGGAGACATACTAGAACGCTTTGTTGGACGGTAGTCCGCAAACTTTTTATCCATACGCGGCGTTTCATAGTCATCGCCGTCCAGCCAAGAAACGCCTTGCGATGGTCGTGTTCGTTTACAGTATTTACAGGTCCATACAGTAAGCCCCAAAATACCGCCGATGATGAGCGCGTAGGTGATGCTCGCCACCAAATGCGGAAGGATATTCAAATAAGTAAAGAACTTCCATACCAAGTCGTCTGGCAAATGGTACATTCTCTAAAAATATAGTCACAAAAATTTAATTAAAAAAAGCTATAATAAAAAGAAATATGTCGATACATACAATTTCGGTCCACAATAACGGAATAACCATATCTTCAAATTGTCTTACATTGGCCACATTTCCAATTTTCCCCAAAGACATGTTAATTTGGAAACGTACTGCTACTTCCAGAGGTAACCCCGATTTCTATGAAAAGAATACTATAATTGTTTTGTTGGTACAATGTTAAACTTTCGGCTTACCGGTTGCACCACAAAATAAGTCTCATGCGCTCTTCGATCCGGAGTGTATCCCTCCACCTCGTTCCGCAAACTATCATCAGAGTCTAAAAAGTGTGGGTAGCTAAGCGCTATAGGGAAACCGTAGTAGCACTGTCGGACATCCAATAATCCACGACGCAGACATTGCTTGGTTCTACAGAAACAAGCATTTTCGGAATCAACAATACCATTATCCATTGCATTCGCTGGGAATTTGTAGACGAATGCTTCCAAACCCGATTGAATTGTGTGATTGGTCATCATCTAAATATAGAAAAGAAAATATTATTGTATATTTTATGCCTTTATCAATTTATTCATCTTACAAGTGTTTGAGGACGACACACGCTCTTTCTAAAGAACTTTTGCGTCTCATTGGGTTGAATATTGCTGCGGAATTTGGTGCCATCAGAAGAGTTAGCAATATTACCACATCGTCCTTCCCACTGAGGCATTTGCGGCGCTCCGTTGTACGTTTCAATTAATCCAGCAGCGTTGATATCATTTGCTCCCGTGTATACAGTTTCATAATCGCCTTCAAAGTTGTACATCTACAAACAATTAAATTTTCATTTTAGGCAAGTCATTGTATTTCTTAAGGTTTGTTAAGTTAAGGGTTGTAAGCTTACCCGATCAATTAGACCAAGTTTTTCAAAATTTATCCAGTGGGGCAATAATTTGTTCCCTAAAGTCATGAGTGTGCTCGAATAACCAAACATAAATTCTTTCGGGCTCATCTCGACCAACGGTTGCGTTTTTGTTTGACGAATTAGTAGATTCAATCCCAATTTTGTTAAGTACGATCCAGTTGATACGACATCTGCTATGCTCTGAAATACATTTAATACAATTAATAAATATATTTTCGTTTTGTTTGAATATTAATTCATTTATGTACATTACAAATGAATATTCATCAAACAACTGCACATTTACTTTAGTTTTATTGTAATCTGTAAGTTTTGTGTTTGATTACATTATTTGCGCTTTGGCTTCCTATTTAATTAGAAAGTATTTCTGAATTTCGTAGCCGCTCAAAGTTCATTGCGCACGTACGAACCGTCTGAATGTGTCCAATTAAACTCACACCATACCATACACATACTCATACGTACATGATAACATGATTATTGCGTTGAGGTTTTTTGCTGATTACTTGGAACGTCTGATGTTATGGTCTGAATAATTCAACGTAATAATTTTAAAAAATTGTGAAAACAATTGACGGTACATAACACAGATTGCGTTAAGTTTATTTTTCTATTTAATGTTAAAATAATACCAAAGGTTATCTTTAGTTGTAAATGCAAATTAAAATTCTTATCGGAATTACTAAAAACTATTAATTATCAATATTACAAAAAAAATTAAGAAGTTTATTGCAGTTTGTTTTAAATAAATTAACGCCCTGTACAGTAACTGCGTGACACAAGATCATAAATCCAATTGTGCATTGATCCACACGGAACGCAATGACATTTTACATTTAAATGCAATATGAACCAACTTGGCATTATAAACTTTATAAATGAATTGTCACTATCAAAAAATACGACTACTACATTACGCCACTTTATTACCCAAATTTCTTAAAAAATTAGTAATTGATCAGAACAAATCCATTTTCATTTTCATTTCAAATTCATTTTGAAACAAATCGTTGCTTTAAGTGAAATCTTGTAATTAAGCAGATTGAGCGAAGAAAAGTGCAAAATGATTGTATGTTTTAAGCCATATGACTCAAGTCACTTTCAGATATTTTGACATTTTGCGTTGCGATTAATTGCGACTTTCCTAATCGCGCTTTAATCGGTCGATCCAGCTCAAAAAACCGCCCCGACTAATTCGATTTAAACCGAGAGCTGACCTAACCTAATTCTCGGCTTCAACTCAGATTGCTTAAGTCATTTAGCGAGGCGACTCAAGTAAATTTGAAGCGTATGTAATTACTCGTGTGTAATAGGGAAAATATTAATGAAAATTTTGCAATATAAAATTTTAGACAACGCAAGTTTTAAAATTAAATTAAGTTATGTAACATAATTAATTATTATTTAATGAATATTTATCCATGTTTAGTTTAATTCAAGTTGATTTATTTTTCGAAACACTCTGTATATAGAATAATAATTAATATGCGCGTGGCCGGTTGACTTCGTGTGCACCTTTGACTTAACTTGCATTGAAGTTACTTCGACACGAATGATGTAACTTTCACTCTTCCACTTTGCCGAGTTTGTTTTACTTTTGCTCAACATATGTCAACTTAACACAACCTGCACATCATTAACTTGGGCAAAATAAGAATAGTCGTTAGTTTGTGTAATCAAAAAATAGAAAAATAGAATGGATTTACAATACATTTCTAAATAAAATATCTAACAGCATTTTTTTGGTTCACTTTTAGCGACAATACCAATAGGAGTTTACATTTCACATTCGCGTTGAGTAAGTTATGAATGAACTTGAATTGAATGAATGGCCGTGAATTACATCACGAAAACAAGACATAACTCAACAACTTGTTTAACCAATAAATTACACGCGTTTTTTTTTATATATATAATGATATATACATGTTTATTCTGGTACCCATAGTTTTTAGGATAATTTTTTTTTAAGTGACTTACCAATAGTGCAATATTGGGCAATATTAGCCGATCGGTTTCGTGATCGCTGACGGACTGTTCGGGCACAAACTCCAAAATGTGACGCGGATTTGCGGACACTGTTCCATTTTCATTGAAAGTCACGTTTTCATGTGTCATTAGTTCACTGAAATGTAAACAAATTTGAATTGGTACTTGATACTTTTATTTCAAATTTAAAATTACTAAAATGAATCTTAAATATAAACAATAAAAGAAAGCTAGAGATATCTAGGTGGTTAAAATTGAATAGGGGCTCAGGTTGGGCTACAAAAATGTTTATACGCTTTCTTACCGATAAACATAAGGTCCAACTTCGACGACTTTCATCTTTTCGTTTCCGGCAAGGAATTCTTCATGATTGGTTATGTTGAACACCCACACCCTTAGATATAAATCTACGGGCGGTGCTCGCCACAATTCGAATATTTCTCCGCCTGGTACAAATAATATTCTCTGCAAATTTCAGAATTTATAATAAGTTACCCTTATAACTCTATAAAATCGAAATTCAGAGACACAAGTGATAATCATAATCTAATTAGCATTAACATTAATTTCAACTATTTCTTACTTGGTTGAAAAAAAAGTTGTACGGGTCTGTTGCGAGCATGAAAAAACCACCTGAGAGGAATATCACACCGAGGATAGCAAGAATGGAATAGCCTGAAAAAAAGACAACAAAAATTTTATAAACATCTGCAAAATACATGCAGTAACCTTCAGACTGAATGAATATAGAGACAAAAATGTACCAAAAGAATGTATTTAAGAGTGGTTGACCCATCTGTCGTGTGAACAATTCGATTTACGATAACATTTTTGACTTAAACTTGCTTTTTTAAAGTTACGTGGTTGGTGATCATTGAATCGAGCGATACGAGTATTATTATCGCCTGCCGTGCTACTTTTATTGGGCATAGTGTATAATTTCAACGCAATTTTACTGCAGAATGTGAAAAATCTTCAATTTAAAGTGTTTAATTTTTTTAAGGACATTAAATGTCAAATATGATTATTGATAATTAATTTAAGAGGAACTCAAAAGTGCTATATTATATAATAAAATAAATTTGCAAAAAAGTCACTTAAAAACAACTAGGAACAACAGGTTTAAAACAAATTATGCTCAACATTTATTTAAATTGCCATCATAATGATCTTAAAACATTAATTTTAAGAACTCTGGGCTTCTTAAAAAATCAAGGTCTTTCTTAGCTAATTACTTGTTTTTAATACTTGTTGAAATATATAGTAACGCACGAAAATATGTTTCCATTGCACATAAGTGCAGCAAGTGCAAATGATGAAATTCAATGAAAACTGCACGTTCAACATCTGTCAGCAGTTTGACAGCATCGTTTTCTGCATGCTGTTTCAATTTCTTCATCACTTTTAAGTTTAGTGAAGGGAACCACCATCATCAACGAACATAAGCATTCAATTTAAAACATCAATTTGTAATAATTGATTTGATAATCGCAGGCGAGAAAAGTAAGGAAAATAAACCTTTAACTTTCGTCTATTGAATGTCATTGTAGAAGTTATGTAAGTAAACATTTATCAGTTGTATTACATGAATTTATCTATTACAGTAAATGTCGATTTCTTTCCAGTAATCCAGTGAACACAATTATTATCATATTATTTTCCTCTTTTCTTTTTTTTAATATAATTGTTGGAATAAAGTAAAATATTCAAATTGCTGCAATAGACAACTTAATTGTTGTGTTTTAATACAAAGTATAAAAACAGCCAATAGACATTAAAATGTTCCACAGTTTCACGTTTTGTCTACCTCAAGTTGTTATTGAGGTTTATTGCATTAATTGATTGGAATAAAATTTACATTAAGAATGTATTGTCTTAAATAAATTGGGATTGCATTATGAAGCCGAAAACAGGTTTAACGTTTTTGCATCGATTTGTCACCAAAAATTGCACATTCCATAAACTATTTAAGTGATAATTTTTGAATTACATCGTTAACACTAATAATTTAGTGCAATAATTAGTCTACACTAAATCAATTTTTTTGTAGTACTTTGCATACTAATTTAAAAATTAAGTTGTTTTTGTCAACTTAAACTTACAATTTTTAGTTAGTAATAACTAGTTTTATTACCATTTTATTGATTGGATGGTTGTACTTAAAGTTGATTTACATCTTTATTAAAGTTGTTAAGTTGTTATTTTAAAATAGGTGTGATATTCATAAATCAATATGCTACACAACTTTGGGCATTAGTTTTAGTACGTATGAACAATTATTATGATATTATAAAATATGTTGTAGCACAAATTATTGCTTTCCTATTGAATAAACATAAGTTATACTATTACATATACGAGTTAGTAATATGTAGGTTTAATCCATTAGGCCAATTAATGATTCAATTGTTATTATTCTAATTTAAAATTACATGTATTATTTTATATATTAAGTAAGTTCTCTCTTTTGCCGCCTCTCTGTCTAAATTTTTAATGAAAAGTTGTTAATTGCGTCTGCCGACTGAATAATAACTATTTTATTGCATTTTCTTGTTTATTATGTGTCAACAAACATATTTTACCTCTCAACTCTGGGAATATTATACGACGACTGTTTTTTTTATCTTATATTTTTATATTAATTTATTTTTATCATCGAAATATTATCTAAATGATAATTTTACAACTAAAATTGATTTTACGAATTATGATTGTTGGGTTAACAAAAAATCATTGTTTTTATTATTTTAGTATTTGTTTTAGTAGTTTTGTTTGTTTGTATTTTTATAATTTTTTAAAGTTTCCTCACAATTGTAATTTCCCTAGATTTCAACAAATATTTCAAATTCATAGATACTCCAGTAGGTTTTGAGACTTAGTGAGAGTTACAAACGTCCAATCATTTATATCTTTATATGTGGTGATAATTCTGGTCAACACAATTTTAGATGGCGACATTAAACAATCGTTACGTTAATTACGGTTACTCGGTAGTTATTTACAAACGTATATTTTACGCGAACAACATGATATACATTATGTACCTTTTCTGTGTTTTACTCGTAAATCAGACACAGGTTAATACTGATAAGTTACTGCAATAATATCTTCCTACTTGTGTTTATTTTTCATCAAAACAGATGTTATCCAACTGTTATTCAACAATATTTTTATTTATATGACTTCTTACAAAGCTAAATCAATCGACTTAGTTTTTATCTATGCTGTTAAGGTTTTAATTGTACCTACGCGAGCACGTGTGCATAACAATTAACCATATAAACCACCGTAACGAGTGGCTTTAAAGTTACCACTTTGTTATGTATGAATAAATACAATACCTACATTTGATACGGTAGAAATTAAAATTGTAACTACTAATTTAAGTGAGAAATATTCCACTCCTATTTAATGTAAACAGAACGAAAATCTCCATTAGGGCTAACCATTTACAATTTTTTTTTGTTTCTAATAATACTATAGTATAAGTTTGTTAAGTTGATTAATTCTTTTACAGCCGTTTTAGATGCGCGGCACGTGCGAAATTACCGCATGCGCGTTACATACGAGACGAACTACCGTAATGGTGGACGGAATGCACGAATCTTTGAATGACGGTGCGCTACAGTGATTTCCGCGTTTCCTAAACGGTCGTCGACAGTTTCATTCGTTTTATTGCATTACCTGGCCAAATGTATGTCACTTGGTCAACGTACATCTCACTATTCTATTACTCTACGTGATAGTGATGTAAGATGTAAGGTCCGTCTGATCACTTTTGCTGCTTTTGCCCATGCACACTTAAATATAAATAAGAAATATAAAAAATAAGCATTAGCTTAAGTCAAAGTATTGTTTATTATTTTGACCCTGTCTACCTTATAAATTTGTTAGATAAAATTAATATAAATGTAATTAATTAATGATAATACTCAATTTATGGAATTTCCACTTAGTATACAATTTGTTCTTTAATCGTTTCAAATTTTTCCACTGCCACAAAAAAATTCCACCCAACTGCAATATTTTTTAAAGTGGAATTTTATTAATACTACTATATCTAAAAATAATCCCATGAAAATATAATTTCCCTACAAGTATCGTACAAAGTAAATTTGAATTAATTAAAATAATTAAACTTTTAAATCAACTTAATTTTTAAGAAGTACAAATAAATATAAAAAGTGCAATCAAAATACTGTTAGTTGTTTGCCCTGATCGCCCGAATAGAGCCGACCGAGAAATGAATCCGAAACGAGTGAAAGCGAAGCGAGAAGCAAACCACGCGGCTGTTGAATGATTACGCAATTGGGAGTATAGACGTTTGCAGTTGTAAGTTAAGAACGCAGCGCACGAGAAAAGACAGGAATTTTCTCAAGCGCTGTATTATTATTGCAATCAAGCGATTAGAGAAAGATTGGAGGAGAAGAAATGCAACTTCCTCGCTTGACTTTCCTCGCTCAATATTAATACGCAATGAAACATGTCATACAAAATATTTAAACTGTACTGTTACAATGTATTTATTTGAATATAATTCTTAATTTTAAAACAGACATTTTAATATCAATTAAATCAATTTTGTGCGTTTCATCGTGCTGAGAATTTGTCGCGTGCTCATTATTCGCAAACAATTTAATCGCTTTTTAATTGTCACCTACGATCTGACTTAATAACAGTCTCACTGTCGTGCGTCAATTTTTTGCATTTTGTCTCACAATTTAATTTCATATTTTGCGTATAATTTCATATTATTTTCTTTGATAATTTGTAAATCAGTTTTGCGCGAACGTCGCGCGTTTTATAATTACATTTTTTCTGTTTTTTAATTCAACGTTTAACAAATAAACAGTTTATTTTTAATTTATTTTATTATACGCAGATAATTTCTCATATTTCAAGTTATAAACTATAAATAAAATCATACCTATAATATATAATGAAGGAAATTCAAATGGTAAACACATAAAAATGTATTTAATCTGAAACTACATCGAACATAATTTGTTTCCTATTTTAACTTGTACCGAAATACCAAAAATTTAAAGATGGTTGTTTATTAGTTTGTCAAAAATTAATCCGATATTACCAAAAGTATTGGTAAAACTGGTTTTATATTTTTCCTTTACGTTGTTTATAACTAAAAGATTATTGTAAATATGAAAAGTAGGCATAAATTTTTATTAAAATACATATGATTAAGTTTTGTGCAATTCATACATAAAATGTTTACTGTTGTGGGTTTTAATTTTCTGTAGAACTTACGTTGCTTATTTGATTATATAATGCTAGGGTATAATTTATTTTCCGTTTTGTGAAAATACTACATTCTAAGTGTCATCTTCATCTCCAAGTTGTGTATATAAAGTATTAACACAAATGGTAAATATTGATGTAAAATCATAACAAATTGGGCAGTTTAAGATGTATCTCTGTGAATAGTTAATTATTGCTAATTGTTCATTTGGGAGATGTTGCATGGTGTTACCACATCGTTGGCGCACACTTTTCCGAGTGCTATTTTCGTGAATTTCTTACATCACAATTGATCATAAAGCGATTGTTGATACCAATTTATGCATAGATCATAGATGTAAATAAAATATTAAATATTTATTAAATATTTATTAAATATTTAATAGAATTAAACAATTAGCAATAATTTATATTTTTGTAAAATTTAAACTTAAGTTTAAAACTTGTTTTTTTGTGTATTTAAAGTAATGCGTCATGTTCAAAAGAACTTATTTAAATTAGGTCTGATAACGATTTAAATTGCAGTTTGCACCTTATATAGTATTTAGGAGTGCAGATTTGCAGAATTAAGCTCTTGTGCGTTTTAATTCGTTTTTTAATGCAATGCAAATGGCATTGAATTCAATTTAATATTCCATGGCGAAAATACGGAAACAAGAAAACACTGAACATAGCATGTATACTTAAAGTGTAAATAAAAGATAACTCAATTAATATTGGTTTTTACAATTTTGAAGAATAGTTGAAAATTGGGTTTATTCGATATTTACTATGTACCAATCGTTGAGTATGCTACGCATGCGTAAATTCCACAAATGTATTAGTACCATCATTAGCCGGATAAACAGTTAGTGAAACAGTGGTTGGCAATGACAATCACACACCTATGACGCAGTGTCGAATATTGGAAGTTCAACGATTTTCGAATGGCGATGTCAATACGAAACACAAAGTAAATATTGGATGAAATACGAAATACTCGTATTATGCCATGCTAGTGGTATACCAGTACTGCCTTAGCCAAAATTAGGCCAGGTTCAATTTCATTTTTATTACATCGACTTAAGTCAATACACACTGAACAAGACAAAAACATTTGACATTCTTCACTTTCACATTTAGATATTTAACTTACTGCGGGAAAAATGTTTCAACCTCCTCCAATGCTTCTGGTGCAGTTCCTGTACTTTGTCCCTTGCTTGATGAGCTTGCTGCTCGGCGAAATTATTGGTGCTCACCACCGAGTAAGTGCGCCCCAAGAAGCGATTTAAATCTGGCACTAAACGCATTTTGTCTTTTTTTTATTACCAAATTAATTCAATCCCACAATCACTACAATCTTCACCATTCACAAGATGCGCGCTTTTGACTTCAACTAACACTAAACTTACAAGCTGTGCTTTAAGTCAAAGAATGAGCTTCCGATAGTTTAGTCACGTTGGCAAGGCAATGCGTCGTTTTAAAATCATTAGGACCACAAATTAATTACGGACGTACCTGCCCCTCATTAAAATCAAATTAATTTTACTCAATATTCAACAATTTAAAAGTGTCACAAAAAGAACTTGAATTTAAACACAAAAAATCGATCACGAAATATTACCGATAATTTTAAAATTGTATCTGATATCGTTTTATACTCTTTCCCAATATGATAAGTGGAAAGTGAAGACTTTTCACCGTCGAGACGCGAAGTCGACTGATCCGGAGCGTGGCGAAGTCACAGGACTATATCGCGATTGCCTACCTCCATACCTGTTCGTCTGACAAAGTAGCTAAGCTACAGGTAGGTTCATGTGAGAAGGTAAGACGAGGTGAGGAAAAGTGACTATACCAACTTACTGAGATAGTACGCTACCGAAGTAGAGAATCATCACGCACGTCAATGGATAAGTGTTACTGTACATGTCTTGAAAATTACATGCTACTGTTTTCACGTAGAAAATACTTCGTATCACATTATTTTTCAATAGATTTTTTTTAGATAAGCATTAATTCATACTGTTGTCTTATTTTAAATTTGGTTTTGTTTGCAGTGTAAGTGTAGTGCTGAATAAAAAACATTCGAGAACAAAATTGAGAAGTCAACATGAGATTGCAGTTTTTTTGAGAATGTTTCAGTCACACACCTCTGACTCAAATGAATAGCTCTTAGTTACTTATTAGTATTCACATTGACCCTGAATTCCCCAAAACTATTTAAGTGTGTACAATGAACAAAGATAATACGAAAACTGACCGGAAAAAAATACGATTATTTGGGGAATTACGTCAATTTTTATGGGCAATACAATACTTAGTTAATATGTAAACTAAAAAAAATTACCTACATACAGGTATAAAGAGTATGTTTAACAAATTATTATGCAAATGATAAGTATAGTTTTGATCGGTACAAATATTTTAACTTCAAATTGTTTTGTTTATTTATATTTAAGCAAACAAAACGCACAGCTCCGTTATTATGCTCTTTAAATTAAATCAAAGCGTAAAATTTCTCTGTACCTTTGATAAACTCTAATTATACCTCGTAAAAAGGCCCAGATTGATTTCAAAATCACTTTATGACTATAAATGAACAAGTTTTGAAATAAAAGAGATATTTTGTGAGGTATCTTTGCAATGAGTTTCAATACGTAACGTTTCTGAAGAGCAAACAACAAAATCTAAACTTTAAAATTATTGTATTGGTCTTATTACCATATCCCGCAAAATAACTTAATGTAAACATTATTTATTTTGATCCGTTTTAATAAATAACTTTGAGGAATCAATTATAGATTGCAAAATTTTAATACAATGTATTTTTAGGTCGAAGTTTTGATAAACACAAAAATAACTTTTGACCAGTATATTTTTTAACCATAGTATTATAATAGTATTACATAAAGTTTAATAGTAATTGAACCACTGATTGCTACCAATTTTTGAATCCCATAATAAAATGCGTAATGAAAACCTATTTTCTTCTATCTACTGAACAAATAAAATCATAGTTGCAAAACAAACTACAGAGTTCATATTACGTAAGGATAATTATTTAAAAGAAAATTTTTGATTTTTGATATGTTAAATAAAGTTTTTAACACTTCTTAACGCATTGTTATTTAAACGCAAACGTGTATTGATCATACTTTAAATTTGAAGTTTTTTTTTTAAATTTAACTATTATTAAAAACGCATGTAAAACCATAATAACAAGTAAATTATATATGTCAATCAAAATAATTTTTAAATCAGATATAGATAGCTGGAATTTGCAAGCGTTAGATCATCTTTTATGCTGGGCACCGCTCAAGGTAAATAAAAACTAAGTAAAATGGCAGCTTTTCATTTTCAATTGTTGTTTGTCTACTACAGTTAACTCGTGTAGGTATTATAAGTTATCTACCTATTGTTTACTAGAAAATATTTACGTCGCGGTTGCAATGACCACACGCATTTACAGTAGTATTTGCAACATACGAGAACATTTGACGCAAATTGGATAACAATTGCAAGTCTATTTACATTTGGTTGTAACTCACTTATTTTTGACTTGTTTTTAAATAGAATAAATTGTTTATAGTTAACACGTGCATATTTTTCATAATTGTGCAAGCTATCATCTTTAGCAGCTATATAATTTAATTTTTAATTTGATTCAATAATTAAACCAATATTTCGTAACATTTCGTTCCCATCTTTTCGATATTTTAAAATTACTTTAAGGTCTTTGTCATATTCTTTAATTATATTGTTTAGCATTTTGTCTATTTACTCTTTCTTGTTTGCGCAAATCGAAAAACACTACAGTCGTGTCGTGCTGAAATAAACAAGGCGTACAATAAACATCTTTATATGCAGAATTTAACTATCTACTTAATGTATAATTAATTGAATGTTTAAATTTAAACCACAGAAAAAGTTGAATGGAAATCATTTGAAAAGAAAAAGGAAAAAAGATTCGATTTGCGTCAACTAAGAGCAAATCACAGTCACGGTCTGTTTTCGTGTAGCATTTAATTAATGAAATTATGCGTTTGCATAAACGACGTAATTTGTTACTTAGATCGTAAACGCATACGCGTATTCGTCATACAGAATCACAAACATGTAATAAAAATAGTAAATTTAAATCAGCAACAACTGCATGTTCACATCGGTAACCAAACATAATGAAAGCATACTGAAATGTTGCAGGTTTATTATAATAGTAATTGTGCAACTCGTCAACTAACGTAGTGTTTAAAAAGGTTTAAAAGTCGCAGGAAACTTTCCAAATCGATTTGTTGAGGCTCGTGAGGTTTGTGAGGTAAAAAGTGACCTTTACGTCTATACCATGCAACGATTATATTTTTAAATTTTAATAACATATTCAATTAATTATACATTTTACCAATCTTCATTGGTCTAATGTCTTGCTTTAATACATTTAAAATTGCATTTATAAAAATTAGCAAGTCATTAATTTAGTTTAGGATAACCAATATCATTTATGACCTTATATCGGTAATTATCAATAGGAAGGAAGGAAAAGCAGAGATGACGGAAAAAATGTGGAAGGAAGTGTTTTGGTGATTATGTGCTTGACTGTTTGGTGCAGTTGAATTCCATGCAATACAACGTAGAAAAAAAAACATGTAAAAAAAGCGCCCGAGGCCTCCATGAATTAATAATGATTTATTCACCAGCAAGTTTTTGAACAGTGTTAATTTAAAATTGATTGTCAAGTACAAACAAGATTGTTGACATTTCGATTTTTGATTTTACGGGTTTTACCTATAGTAATATTATCTTTTAATGTTAAAACACTAATTTCTATAATTATCATGTATTTTGTTTGATTCTTTTTATCATTAAAATCATGTTACTTCATCATAGATGTAATTTTTTTAATATAAATTAAGGCACATATTGATTTAAAGATTTTAGCTATTGATAATTTTTATTAAGTTTTAATGTTAGAAAATTTGCATAAATAGTTACTAGATTTTTTTGTATGTCAAATTATATTGTGGCAGGTTTTATGTAGGTCCGAAGAGTATTGATACTTAATTATATTTTGACTGTTTTTGACAAGTGCGAACATGCTGCCAGTACTTCCTACATTTTTTGTACTTCCAACTTCCGGAGAGCAAGAAAAAAACATAGTGTGAAAGATATTCGATTTCTTAACACGCAATTTTAGCATAAATATGAATCAACATTCTTAACATATCAGAGAAACCAGTTGTAGTAGTTGTAAATTTAGTTTAAAATTAAATTTCAAGTTCAACTTAATAGGCAGAAATCACTGTTTACGAAAGATTTATGTGAGTTATTTTTATGTTTTTTTACACATTCGAATCAATCAAAAATAAATAACAAATAATAAAATATAAGAGTCATAATTTCATATCGTGATATAATAATATTGTTTTTTTTTTCATATTTTAAATTCTATTCTTTAAGTCTAGACAAAATGTTGAAAAGTTACTCAAATTATTAACTTTTTTATATGATAAATATTTGATGCCGATAATTATATTCTGTTCTGATGTTTTCAATCGCGTTAGCATTAATTTATTTTCTAATCTATTGAGCAATTAATTTACTATAAAAACTATTTATTATTGAGTGCATTTCAAAAATAACATCATTTTTTGCTGATTAATCAATAGGTAAAATACGTGTTAAAAATAAATTTCTACAAACCCTATAACAGATACATATGTAAATATATGATTTATTTTTACTTAATTTGCTAGATAACGCGTATATCCATAAATTACTATAATAATAAGTATTAAATTCTATAATTTAATCAAATCAAGATGAAAATTTGCCTGGCAACACGAAAGCTTATTGATTTACATATAAAAATAAATTTTAAATAGTCGTGTATTTTAAATTTAAAAGTTCCGTTTATTTATGTTATTTATTGTCAGCAGGTAAGTTCAAGGTGATTGAAACATTTATTGCATTCACACATTCTTTATTGGGAAATTCAAATTTATCCGTAAATTCCGCTAAATCTGTGTACTTTGAAACCATCATTGAGTCAATATTTGCTTCGGTTAACACTATTTTGATCTATTACAAAATACACGTGATTTTATTGTTATTATTTACACTTGTTTGGTTAGGTTTTATTTGAATTTTAATATTAATATATCACTCTGGCAATAACTCAAATTTCAAGATGTCCTCGTCAATTTAGTTTTGAATAAATTAAGTTATCATTAATCAAAAACATCTTAAGCTAAACCCAAACCAAATTAAAAACGTTTATATAATTATATAAATCATTTAAATGAATATATTTTTTTAAATTTGTTTAGCTTTTCTTTTTAACTTCAGTGAGGTTTGACAGCTACCTTTTATTCTTTACAAGTCTCAAATTGTGATGTTTTCAAAGTTTATCAATTTGTTTTGTATTAGTAATTTAAATGATAAATTTCTAAAATAAAAGCAGCCTCTTATAAAAGATGTTTTGCGTTGTCGCCCCATCATAAACTTACTAAATTAAAAACAAAAAATTTGCAAGAGTCGAGAAACTTGAGACAAGATCAAATGATCCGATGAAAGGTCGGGATATACAAAGATACAAATATGCAGAAATGTTAAAATTAAGTTTGCAGTCAAAGAACTTTTGATTTCAAGATAAAAAAAGTGGATGTTTTGTCTCTTGCATTTATGAGTGATGCAGACGCATACTATTAAACCTTGCGATTCTTGACCACAAACAACAG